GTTGAGGGCAGCAAGCTTCCAACAAATAGCGCGATCGGCACAAAAGATTTTTTCCCCCCTTTTGTTGTTCAACTCTTATTATCTGTGTTATTAACTTAATAGCCAACCCAAATGAAAGCGAGCTACTGGATAAATGCTTTAGTGAGAGGCGCTGTAAAAGGGCCACTAAGTGGAATTAATAGAAAAATTAAAGCACCATAAAAAGAAGCAGCTGGAATGCTTATTTTTAACTTGATCTTCTGAGCCTCTCCACTAATAAACACACATTGAGGCCAGTCCTCAACCATTCAGACCACAAATTCACAGGGAACTTTCATGATAAGATAAGAGAGGCATTGCTGTGTAAGAACGAAGGGAATCGACACACACATGTGACACAGACAAAACTTTCTCCCCCACCCCCCAATGAAGACACCCATTACAGAAGTGTGTTAGATCGTCCAGCCGGTTAGCGATCCGTTGCCACAGGTAAGAACATCAACACGTAAGCCTAAGGAAAGTGGCAGCTGTGCTGTTTGTCGCGCTGACAATTCTAATTAAGATGAAACGGACCTTCCTTTCGAAAACAGGCAGCGTTTCCATGTATTAATAACCTTGTTGGTGCAACAAGACCAAACAGTCATATGATAATTTCCATCTTGATTAATCACACAATTCTATTTGTTCACCTCCCGCCCAATAGAATCCAGCTGAGGAATAATTAACCAGTCATATCTTGGGACTGCCACAGGTAGCAGCAATATCCTAATAAGACATATCTGTTGGCTTTTAAAACATACGCATCTTGTAATGGAGCCACAGCAAAAATGGTTAGAGACGGCATCCCCACCACTTCAATACTTTAATGCTCTTTTGCCAACTTCTTTTTAACCGGGAGTTTCGGGCAGATGGGGTTGATAGACCGGCATTTACTTTAAATTGAGAAAGGGAAGTTTGCCTGGTGCCAACTGCCAATTCTACTGCACTAAAAAGAGTTTATTTAACTCTTTTTTTAAAGAGTTCAACTGTTGAAAAAGAAAATATTCCCGGCGTTGTTATATTGCTCGACGGCTGACTGTTTTCTTTTTCACAAGAAGTGATAGAAATTATGAGCCTGTAATTAGGATAGTCGTAAAGACTTTCTGGACAATTCACCTCCTTCCCAAAATAAGTGATCAGAAGGCGCGGTTAAAAGTATAACACTGAGTAAGCTCTTTGTATCCCAACAACCCTTCAGCTCAGATATAACATCTTCCAAACTATCCATTTGTAAAGATTTTGTAGTTAGTTCATTGAAAATGAGCTTATAATAATAGCCCAGGAACAATCAGGGAAGTTGGCAAATGTTTTCCCTAAGATATTATCAAGCTTAAACAAACAAACAAAAAACTTGCAGTTCAAATCCTTCTAACACCTGTCCCCCCAAATGATAGGAGTCTGAGAAGTAGTTCCCAGGGTTTATGCGTAGGAATAAGCAGGCCTAATTGTTTTGAAAAGTTGCTGTGCTGAATATTCTTCTCTAAATAAGTATTTTTGTGTCAGGGATCCATGCCAACGAATAATGCCAGAAGCATTTCCTTAGCATTTTTGAGGAAGCACGTTCTTGATTCGTGTTGCTTCCCAGACATGGGTGGGGAGAGACGGAAGCAACAGTTAATTTCCCCTGAAAGCTTTCTGGTCCCTGTTTTTACTCCCCGCTTAGTTCTTTTGCAATGGAGAAAACGCTTCCCAGGAATATGGGCAAAGTGGGAAAGACTGGAGCATCAGTTTGGGAAATTCAAATTGTGTGGCCGTTTTAAGAAAGGGGGAGACTCTTGGCGGTAACCCCAGAACTTCAAGGAAGGGTGAAAACTTCAGCCTGGCATCCAAGGATTTCCTTGACTTCAACCCTACAGTTGGCCAACCCTTAAACTCAGCTTGAGGCGCACCTGACCCTTCTTATTTCTTCCTTGCCTTCGGCTCCACCTGTCCATTGCTCAGCCCAAACTTGGCCTCCCCCCTCAACCAAGGCCATCCCCACCCTAACCCCGAGAAGGGGACTTACCGATGGTGGTGATGACTGTAATGGCAAAGTAGAAAGAGCCGGCAAATTTCCACTGGACGCCGGCCCGGTGGGGCTCCGACTGCATGATGATCTCTTCCAGTTGCTGGTAGTCGTCGCTGGTGATGTTGTATTTCCCCTTCAGCCGGGTCTCCTCGGCTTTCAGCTGCTCCTCCTCGCGCAGCTCGTGCTCCGACTCGAGGGCGTCGAAGACCGCCGCCCCCACCAGCAGGTAAGTGAACGTGCAGATGATCAGCGAGAGAGTCCGCACGTTCTGCCTCTTCATGGCCGCCAGGAAGGGCCCGCCGCGGAGGGGACCATGTCCCCCCCTGGCCGCCCGCGGATCCGACAGGGTGGCCGCGAGGCAGCCGCCCCGCCAGGCGAGCAGCGCGGGGCGGCGGCGGCGACGACGTGCAATAGGGCTCCCTCGGCACGGCGGCTGTCCTTGGTGCTGAATCGGCGGCGGCTGTCCTTGGTGCTGAATCGGCGGCGGCTGCTCGTCCTCCTGCGAGGCGGAGAGGCAGAGCAGGCTGCTGGAGCGTCGGGCGAGCGGGAGGCGCAGCCGGCAAACCGCGCGCAAGAGCTGCGCCAAGCAAGCCGTCCCGGCGCGCAGGGCCATCAACGGCGCCTCTCCTTAACAAGCCAGCTTGGAGCCGTCGGGAAAGGGAAGGAGGAAAGCGCCGGCCCGCGTGGCCCGCAGCCTGAGCTACAGCTTTCTCTCGCCCAGCCTCGCCAAAGACGCCCACTCTTGGCAAACTCCCGGCCCCCGCCGAGCCGGGGGCGCGGAGAACTCCCGGACTCTACTTCTCTTTCTCTCTTTCTCTTTCTTTCCTTCCTTCTTTCTTTTCTTTCTTTGTCTCTGTCTCTGTCTCTCTCTTCTCCTCGCTTCTCTTTCCTGCCTTTTCAAAGCTTGGTTACTCCAGGGTTACTAAGCCCCGGGAGGGGTGGAAGGATGCGGAGGTCCCATCAGAGGGGCTTAAAGGAGGTACTCCTTCATTGGGTAGAGGGAGAGGCAGAGGGGAGAGGAGACCCATCCGAAAGACGGCCGAGAGGCACACCTCTTCCAGCCCCGGCACGGTTGGGCTGTCTCTCCAGAAGCGGCCGGCGGGTGGCCAGCGGTTGCCCACTCCAATGGTGATTTTTTTTTTCTCCCCGAGGAGGCCTCCCCTGCATCGGCCAGGCGGTTCCCGGACCTCGGAGGGAACGGAGAGAGAACTTCCGGGACTGACCACAGCTTGCAAAGCCCGCGACTGCCTTAGATCCTCCTCCTCCTCTTCCTCCTCCTCCCGCCCCCCGAAAAAGTGTTGGGGGAACGAGATGCAAATACTCGCCAGGCAGGAGCACAGGAGCCGGAGATCAGCCCACGGGGAGCCCTGCGCTCAAAGCCTTGGGGAAGCTGAGCATCCCTCTACAGACGGGGAAGCTCCGTTCTCCAACCTGACCCCCTTCTGAATCCCCCAAATCTGGTCTGGCGTGGGAGTGGGAAGGGAAGAGGCAGTGGCGGAGTATTGGGAGCGCCCAATCCCCCTGGGGCAAATGTTGGGTTCCCTCGCTCTTCGCTCTTTCCTCCTCCTTCCCCGCTCGGTCCGTTCAACCTCCCCTCTGGCTTAACCCAACTTTGGAGATACTTGCTCCACTAGGGAAAAAGCTGGAGCGGGGAAGGGGGCGGGGGGCGGGGGAGAGAGAAGGGAGGCGGGAGAGCCCGAAGGAAGAGAGCCGCCCCTCTCGGCCGGCCCTGGCTGGCGCTGGGGCCGCTGAACAAAAGAAACGTTCTCCGGAGCTCGGGGGGCAAAAGCGACTTCGGCGGAGCTGAAGGGAACGGGGGCCGCCGCTCGGCCTGCCTGCAGCCACCTCGGCGGAGGGCGAGGCAACGCTCATCGATCAGAGCGGCTGGGGAGTCCGCGGAGACAGGTGTGCGTGCGGGAGGCTCGGTTCGGGCGGTTGCATTCTGCAGAAGGGCTCGCCCCCTCCCTCCCCAAAGGAGAGAAAGGGAGGAGGGAGGGAGAGACAGAGGGAGAAAGAGCAGTGAAGAGGAGGAGGAAGAGGAGGAGGATGGCCGAGCGATCCCTGGCTTGGAGTCGCTTGCAAAAACGAGTGATCGCCCGTTGTGACCCCCCCCCTTCCTGCCGCCTCCGCCCCTTTCCTCTCCTCCCCTCTCCTTTCCTTCTTTCCTTTCCTGTCCTCTCCTTTCCTCCCCTCTCCTTTCTTTTCCTTCTTTCCTTTCCTTTCCCTTTCCCTTTCTCCTTTCCCTTTCGCAGGCAACAGAAACGAGGGACGGTCTGGTTTGAATCCTGCAGCAGCTTTCCGGGGTTTCCTGCTGTGGGTGGAAAGAGAAGACACCAACATTAGGGAACGCGGGAGAAGGGGGGGTTGCTGGTTCTTCTCCCCACCCGTCCATCCCTCGACCGCCCTCCCCTCCCCTTCGCCAGGGAAGTCTGGAGGAATCCGGGGCGTTTGCAGGAGTGAAGCTTCCTAGGCGCGAAGGGAAGACTCCCGCCTTCCCTTTTCCAGCCTCGGCGGCCCTTCCAGGATGGAGACCGTGGGGCATGAAGGGGGCGGGGGCGGGGTGGACAGGCAGCTGGGGAGGAAACCGCCTCTCCCCTTCGGGGTCGACTCGTGCTTCAGTCTCAGAGTTGAGATGGAGTAGGGAGGAGTAAGCCGTGGCTTGATTCAGGGGCACACCGCCGCCGCCCCCCTCCCCTCCATCCTCCCTGGCTCACCGAACCCAAAGCCGGAGCCTTTGGCAGTCATGGGAGGGAGGGAGAAAGGAGAAGGCACCCCCTCCCTCCCTCCCTCTCGTCTCCCATCCACCCACCTTGTCTGGATGGGGAGGGGGGGTGAGAAAGAAGCTGGACGCCTCGCCTGCCGAGTCTCCGGGTTGCTTGGCTTGCGATCCGCGGCCTCGTTGTCTCAGGCTCTGGCCCCGCCCCCTCTGAGCCGGCCCCTCCCCCCTCTGTTCTGGGTTTCAAATCCGGCTCGGATGGCGAGAGGCGCCTCCCAGGCTCATCCCAAGGCGTGGTCCCGCCTTGGTAGGTTTTGGGGGGAAGATGTCCTTTCTCCCTTCATTGCCTGCCGCGTAGCCAAGTGGAGGAGGGGGTTTTGGCTGGCCGCTGGACAAAAGATCTGCAGAAGGTGGGCCACCTGGTCTCCTTGACCTCCGCTGCATGGTCTTTCGCAGTCCCGAAGCTGAAAGTCCATGGCGCTTTGCTTACTCCGTGTTTAAACCTCTGCCAACGTAGGATTGGCTGCAAACTCATTGGACCAGGCTCATAGAGTAAATCTGAAGCTGTCTGCTTCGAGAGAAGTCCACTTGCCTTTTTTTGAGGGTCTGCCACAGAGAGGAGGGGGTCAAGCTGTTTTCCAAGGTACCTGAAGGCCACACAAGGAACAATGGAATGGAAACTGATCAAGGAGAGATTCAACCTAGAAATAAGGAGAAATGTTCTGACAGTGGGAACAATCAACCCATGGAACGGAAGTTGCCTTCAGAAGTTGTGGGAGCTTCATCACTGGAGACTTTCAAGAAGATATTGGACTGTCATCTGTCAGAAATGGTGTAGGGTTTCCTGCTTGCTGTGGGTTGGACTAGATGACCTACAAGGTTCTTTCCAACTCTGTTAATCTGTAAAAAGGATTTTCTGCTTGAGCAGAGGTTCAACCAGAAGACTAGAAGACCTCCAAGGTCCTTCCCAGCACTTTTCTGATTGATTGGCTGATTTCTTGATTGACTAAGTGATTGATTGAAGGGCTGATTTCTTGATTGATTAAGTGGTTGATTGAAGGACTGATTTCTTGCTTGATTGGCTGATTGATTGATTGGCTAATTGATTGATTGAGTTATAATCCATCTTGAGGATACCATGATGGTGCAATCAACACAAGACTAGATAAGCCAGTGATGTGACTTGGTGGGAGCCTCAAAGGTCTTTGGCACAAGGCCTTTGTGCTCAACCTGGTCACAAATCCTGGGGTTTTTTTTCCACCTCACCTTCCTGCAATGAAACCCTAAGATGGAAGTTCCATGCTTAGCATTCCTCTGCAACCAGCATGGAAGCTTTCAAGAAGAGACTGGACTGACACCTGTCAGAAATGGTGTACGGCCGTGATGGCGAACCTATGACATGCGTGCCACAGGTGCAGAGGTGGGTTCCTACCAGTTCGCACCAGTTCGGTAGAACCGGTTCGTCAAATCTACCGAACTGGTTAGAAGAGGTTCCATCAGTGGACCCGGANCAAGGAGTTATAAAATGCCAGATGGAAGAAATTGCTCATATTGATCTTAGAACTGAACTAGAACCAAGGAAAGAAACAACTCTGTTTGATAAACCAACTAGAGGAACTACTGTTCAAAAATTCAAAGAGATGGTCTATGAGCTTTTTAAAGTAAGTATACTATTTCTCCATTGCCTGGGGGGTGATGACTGAGCTGAAAGTAATGATACTAGACAGATTATTTGATTACTTCATATTTGTGGCAAGATCATTAGATTAAAATTAAGACTTTATTGGGAAGTTTTATAAGGATTGCATGAAACAAACTTTTTAAGTTCTCCCTCCCCATTATGATCCTGCTGTAAATTGGCTATTACAAATAAGAAACTGTCATTGCAATTCAGTTGACAGACTTTCTGTTACTGCTTTTATTCTTTTAAACACTACACTCTTATGATAACTACTAAAATATAGCTAGGTCTTGGATTAAGCATAGGTATTAAAAATTGCATTGGTAATTCATTTATAATCTGTGAGGTCCTTGGTGCTCTATGAGCTTGGTTATTTTCTTGCAGACATTTCATTACCAAATTAAGTAACATTGCCATTGGATATTTAATCTATTTTCCCTTTTAAATAGCTTATTAGAAAGCAGTCACACAAATATATCTGTAATAAAATAAAAGAAGCCCATCTGCAAATAATATTCTCAAATTATGAGAATATTTTAACATTTTAAGAAATTAATCTGAATTAACATGAAATTATGCTAACGTTGATGGATAACAACCTTTGCTCCTATAGGTCTTTTGAACCAAAAAAACACCACCAAAATTACCAAGGATAGAGACCAAACAGGTCAAAGATGCCCACAAACAGGTTAGACAAAATCATGTGGGTCTGCAGGGAATCTGGTGATGCGATTATATTTGTTATAGCTAACTCTACTATAAGGAGAGAAAGTGCAGAAGATAAAAGGTGAATGCTGGGTGCTGGAATGGAGTTTTTCAGTCACTGTGTCTTCTTCTTACCTTTAGGATGGAGTTACTCACTCTTGCTTTGTTCAATAATTTCACAATTGGTATTTTGTAAAGCAGCTACCTTTAAACACACTTATTTGTAGTAAATTTTGATATTAGTAAATATGAACCTGCTGCATATCTTAAGATTATCTCATTGCTGGTATACTTATTTTGTTAAATTTTTTGAAAATTCATCTGATAATAAGCAATAGTTAATTAAAAAAAGAAATGAAACAATGTATATATATGTATTGGTTTGATAAGAGGAAATTTGGTAAAAAATTTAAGTGATGAAAAAAGGGGGAAAGGTTAAACTTAGACAAACTATTGCTAAATAAATGACTGATAATGTTAATAATGTAATAATTTGTATTGACAGGATAAAAAGGAAATTGGATAAACATTGTAAACGATTAAGAAAAGAGGTTTAAAAACTGTTATTTTAAAAAAATAATTATTTTTTTATTTTGAATGTGTTATAAAGGAATAATGTGATTGGATGATATTGAAAATAGATAAGGGAATGCCACTATGTGGTTTTGTTTCAAATTTTGGAATGTGTTATAAAGGGACGTTAAAACAACTGTAGTCATATGAAGGATGAGGTATGATGATAGCAATTATATATAAATATATGTGATGTAAAGTAGATAATTTGATATGAATTAGAAGTGATGACGGTGGAAGGGATGCATAAAAACTCTGTGTAACCAATTGACACACTTTCTACAACTTTGTAATAGAGGATGATTTTATTTGTTTTTATTTAAAAAATAAAAAAATTTAGAAGAAGAAAAAGAAATGAGTGCACCTGATATTTCAACATATATGTGACTTCTTTCTAGGCAAAACTGGGAGAACAAGGAAATCTTCCTGAATTGGTTAATCTCATCTTGACTGTGGCTGATGGGAATAAAGATGGCCGTGTTTCCTTGCCAGAAGCAAAGTCAGCATGGGAACTTCTCCAGTTAAATGAATTCCTGCTCATGGTAATTCTCCACGATAAAGAACACACTCCCAAATTGTTGGGGTTTTGCGGAGATCTTTATGTGATGGAAAAAGTTGAATATACCTCTCTTTTTGGAATAATCCTTCCGTGGATTTTAGAACTTTTCATTCCTTTTGGTTTCAGAAGGAGCATGGATCAATGGTTTACTCCGTCGTGGCCGAGAAAGGCAAAAATAGCTATAGGGCTTCTAGAATTTGTGGAAGACATTTTCCATGGACCGTATGGAAATTTTCTCATGTGTGATATGAGTGCCAAAAACCTGGGCTATAATGATAAATATGACTTAAAAATGTTGGATATGAGAAAAATAGTGCCAGAAATGAATTTAAAAGAACTTATTAAAGATCGTCACTGCGAGTCTGACCTGGATTGCATATATGGCTCCGACTGTAGAACTGTATGTGACCAAAGTAAAATGAAATGTACTACAGAAATAATTCAGCCAAATTTAGCAAAGGTGTGCCATTTGCTTAAAGACTATCTGCTTCTCGGGGCTCCTTTAGAAATACATGAAGAATTAGAGAAACAATTGTACTCTTGCATTGCCCTGAAAGTTTCAGCCAATCAGATGGAAATGGAACATTCTTTAATACTCAATAACTTGAAAACTCTATTGTGGAAGAAAATATCTCATACAGATGATTCTTAGGTGCTTTGTCTCAGAAGAAGATGCAGTTGCTGCTGTAGGAGCTGACCACTTTTTATGAAACATACTTTATAGTTTTTGAAACATTTGTTGTCCTCATCTTTTATCAGTTCTCTTTCGAACTTCCCCAATCGAAGAGTTATATGTGTACTTTAAATGTATGCCTGTCAGACTACTGAAGCCATATGGCTACAACACTCCTGGCTGGAAAGAATACTAATTCCCTGTTACCCTTTTATCCTTCACTGGCTTAAGAGATTTCATAAGAGCCTTCTGTTGGTTAGAATTCATTCTGTTTCTTTAGAAACTTACTAAAAGCCAAATTTATACATATGGAGAGAGCATTTGGTATAATCCCAGGAAATCCATTCTATAGAATTTATAAAGTCACATGTATTCAACTGAATAATTTCCTAAATGTAAAAAAAAATCTAGCATTTGAAATCTATCCTACCCTTTTCCCTGATGTATTAGTTATTAAAAACTGGGAATTCTTGAAGGAGGACAGTATAAAAACACCGATTGCACTTCCATTTCTAAATAATAGCTAAGGAGAGCTACTCAAGAACCTCTGCATCATGAGATACTTCCAGTTAGCCAAGCTGCTTCATCTGGCTGTGGAGGACCCTCCCACTTAGATCCAGCAGACCCTCCACCCTTCGAATAAATGTATTTGTACTTCCTTTTGAGAACATCCCAAGCACCAAACTGCTCCCTGGGAAAGTACTGTTCCCTATGCTTTGTTTGCCCTGTATCATTAGCAAAGGGAAAAGTTAGAAGAAATGGGACAGGATAGGTGAAGTTGGCTGTGTGGGTTATCAGTTTAAAGCATTCTTAGATGCCATTTTTGTAAATGCTGGTTACTTTATGAACGAATTCCTGGTGACTCAAACAAGCTTCTCATTTGAATTAAATGTGTGTAAGGGGAAGAACTTTGTCCCTAAACTGTGATATCATTTAGTCCAAGTAGATGAAGGATTGATTGTATCTAGGGACCTACTCTTGTTCCAAAGCTATCACCTTGCAGACATGATAAGAAGTTTCCTTATGTTCTTTTGACTTACTATATCTTTATTTTGTGTTCTTGCTTCCCCTCAAAAAGATACAAAATGTATTGTGCTTTTAAAAAGTTCTGAAGTGTGATTTTTAAAATTCTGAAGTTTCTTTACAATCATCAACCTGAAGAATCCATCACTATTAGATTACTTTTTAAAAATAATATTTTGGGGATTGTCTATTAATTTTAGCATGGCAGAATTTGCACATTAGTAATTTTTAGAGAAAATTAATGTGATAATTGCAAATGTTTTAAAATGGAAGTTTTTCAAACCAGAACTTTTTGTTAGATTTTTACATTTGTATACACATTTACCTCATACATACATTTAATGTTAGTAAGTTTGCTAAATTTCCTAGTTAAAAATAGCCGTTGTATCATTCTAGCATTTAAGGATTTTTAAGTTGCATACACAATCATGCACACACTAGCAGCAATATGAAATATAAGATTCAATAAACTTCAGTAATCAGTTGGATTATATGAACACATTTATTAAAAAGTATTAAGCATTATACATTTGAAAGTAAGAAGTCAAAGAGATCCCTAAGCTCCAGAGTTTTAATGCAATCAAATGATTGAGTCCTCATTTTTTATCAGCAAAGTATTTAAATCATAATGAACAATCTCACCAAAAGAAAGCCTATCCAACAGTTAAATTCTATGTATCACTGTCCTGAAGTAATTTCAGTATTGTAATTGTAAGGTGGAAGATTTCTATTGGGAGTTAATCATATTTGTTCCTTCAACCATCAAACTGTTTGATTTCACCATATGCACTTTGGAAACTAGAATATTACATTCAAGCTGATTTTGTAAGAATGTATAGGTTTGTTTTCATACTATGTGATGAGCTAATTTCTAAAGTGCCATTTGTCTTAAGCTAATGAATATTGGTTTTGGCATTGCTTACAAAACAACAAAATGAAATACAGCAGTGATAAGATACATGTTTTCACCACTACCCTTCTTGGACTTTTTTAAAAAAATATTATGTAGTACTTTCCATTTCTTTTATGTGTTTTTCTCAGGACTACATAGTCCCCAGTTCTAGAAAGAAATGATAACTTTTATCACACATGGATAATCTTTGGAATCTTATTTAGCACCTAGCTAGTTAATAAATTACATTATTCAATGTAATTGTTTAGCAGACTTCTTCTTAAATACTTGGGCATGTTCCTCTTGACACTAATTCACCTTTAGCTTTTGACTTGATTCAGTTTTGTTTTAGAAGACAAGAAAATGACAAAAATTATTGACAATGTCACTTTTTGAAATCAACAAAGTATTCTTTTTTAACCTCTCAAACATGCACTTATAAAGACAAAAGAACTGTTGTTCCCTGTATAATGTGTGACATTATTTGCTTTAGGGTCTTGTACATTTTTGCCTTCTATAAATATTTTTACTAACAGTTTTCTTGCACAATGTCCACTTTGTTTTTAAATTGACAAAGAGAGCATTTATTAGTGGTACCAATAAACATTCTTAAATCTTAATAAGGAAACCCATGGTGAGTAAGTCTGAATGTCAATAGTTACAGTCATTGCTCAGTGGAAAAATATATATTTGAAAGTTTGGAATAATGGGATTTGTTAGCAATGCAGTTTGTACTGTATTTTATTTTGATTGCTGTTACACCACTTTCAGGTTTTTATTTCAAATATGAACTGTTTACAATAAATTGAAACTATTTCCCCTTTCTGGTAGTGATACATGTTGGGTAGAAGCACTGCATTTTTGGTAATTATTAGCATAAAATGCTGAAGATAGCAAGAGCTCATTGATTCTGGGTAAATTTCAATTCGATTACATAGTTGAGTCTGTGTAAGGTGTGCCTTATCCTCTTCAAATACAACAAACAAATCAATATGACAATTTTAGTGGACAGAGATGTGTTGAAATAAGTCCAAAACACTAGTTTCTGCTTGTAGTTTTCATATTCTTGTAACAAAAAAAGATACTTATGACTATTGAATTTGATTCATTTTGTCAAAGGGTGATTGCTGCAAAGCAGAAATGATTGAGGAATAGAAAACCCGAACCTGGATTAACTCTGTTGAGATGACAAGTTTGTTTGATTCCCTGTTTTAGCAGATAGCCCTTTACTGTCCCCTAGTGAAATAGGTTGGGGTACAGTTGCATTTAATTTTTTTATATATAAAATGTAATAGAATGCAATAAAACATTAATGTGTTGGTACATATGAAACAAAATGTTAAAATTATGATATTTATGTATTTGGTTACTAAGCACATCTAAATTATATTAAAGTAACCAAAATATCATTATAAACCCCAAGGCATGTCACAATTTTTGAGCACCGCCTAATGTTTGGAAATTGAAAGCTGAAAAACTTGATATGCCCTAAATAGGATGCTTCTGCTTTCCTCTTGAGATTGAAAAATTCCTGTAGTAATGGAAGAAATCAGGAAAGTTGCTTCACTATTACACAATTAGCCATTTCTACTTAGTTTCAATTTAGGGATTCCCATAAGAGCACAGAATAAACATATATATTTCTGCATTATTATGACCTAAAATGTGATCTGTTCTACACACAAGGCCAAAAACTAGGTGGAGAGAACACTTATTAAACAATTGAGTCAAAACCTGATAGTTCATTTGACAGAAATGATCCAAATCTATACTCTTGTATGGCAGAAGTATGTGAACCTTCACTTTCAGTAACCGGTGTGTCCACATATAACACCAACTAAATGTTTCAGATAACTGTTGGTCAGTCCTAAACATTGGCTTGCATGAATTTTAACCAATTCCTTTTATGGAATAGATTCAATTCAAGGTTGTTTGTGGGCTTCCTTGCATGAATTCCCTGCTTCCTACAAGATTTCTATAGAATTAAGGTGAGGACTTTGACAGCCCATTCCAAAATTAACTTTTTTTCTGCTTTAACCATTCTTTGATTATACAACATGGATTGTTGTCATGCTGTACACCCCACTTTTACTGGAGCCCAAGTTCACTGACAGATATCTTGATATTTTCGTGAAATTTCCTGCTACAATTCAGAATTCCTAGTTCTGTCAGTGAATGGTTTATCAATGGCAAACCCAGGGCTGTCTTAAGGCATGGGCCTGATGGGCACTTGGGCGTGGACTCCACAAGCATAAGGGCCCCATACTAATCTATGTATGTTAACCCTTTAATGCACCTTGCATCATATAAATACAGCAACATATTTATTACATTCTACTGCATTTTTAATTAATGCTAAGATTAATTAAATAGAAATTAATACTGATTTTTTTTTCTGTAGATGAGATGAGCCCATATGTTTTTAATGTTTCAACAGCAATTTTGTTGCAATGCCAATAAAATGTTTAATTTTACCAACCATTTACATTTTTATTCCTGTGAGTAGTTGTCGCAGGGACCCAAGTACGCTGCTTTGCCAGGGGCCCATAATGCTGTTAAGACAGCCCTGGGCAAACCATCCTGGTCCGTTATACTGCTACCATCACAGGATGGGATAAGGTTCTTATCCTGAGTTTGCCTTTCCTAAACATACTTGTCATTCAAGTGAAAAAAAAAGTTCTATTTTGTTCTCATCTGCTCACAGAACTTTTTTCCAATAATTATCTGGCTTATTCATATGGTTTATGGGCAGCAATATTCTTTTGGGAGAGTAATGACTTTCTCCTTGCGTTCCTGCCATGCATACCATTGTTGTTCAGCGCTCTTCTGATGATGGTCTCATGAACATTGACATCTAGCAATGCAGAAAAGGCCTTTATTGAGTTTATCTTGAAGTTCCTTGAGTCCTCCAATAGTAGAGTGATTGATCAACTAAGGTAACAGTGGTATTAATTGCTTCCATTTGTACATGATCTGCCCGACAATGCACTGGTGCTCTTTGGAAAGAGTTCTTAATTCTCCATTCCAGCATGATGAGCATCAACAACTATTTTTAGAGGTGAGAAATCTTTCAAACTATTATGTATTTTCCCACAGGAAAGCTCCACCCCAGGCCAGGAAGGAGGTGCCCAACACTGCCCGCAGGTGACGTCATCCTTCCTTGGAATCCTCAGTAGTCAGTGAGGCTTCTACCTGGGAGGACCCGGAGCAGGAGGAGCAGGAACTTTCAGAAGACAAGGATCTCCCCCCAGATGCTTCTGCTTTCTCTGGGCTCTTTAAACCCACCCTCTTCAAATCTATTTTACATAAAGCCAAGGCCACTACTCAAGTGGGCGCTAAGGGTCAGGCTAGCCAAGGCTCAGACGAGCTTTCGGTAGCTAATCCCAATGACAGCATGTTTAAGTCTCAGGCCCCGTCACAGGACCTGGTTCCTGGTTCCACCACAAAACCGCGCTCGACGAAAGCGTGTACGTGACGTCATCACAGCGCGACGAAAACATCGCGCTGTGAGCGGTAAATTTAAAATTAAAGCGAAAACCTTACCCTAACCCCCCCAAACCTAACCCTAAACCTAACCCTTAACCTAACCCTAAACCTAACCCTTAACCTAACGCTAACCCTTAACCTAACGCTAACCCTAACGCTTAACGTAACCCTAAACCTAACCCTAACCCTAATCCTTAACCTAACCCTAACCCTAACCCTAACCCTTACCTTTATGTGAATCGGCTTGCTTTAATTTTATTTTAATTTCAATTTAATTTTAATTTTTTCGTCGCGCTGCTGATGTCAGGTACGCGCTTTCGTCGAGCGCGTTTGTCTACCGCGGTTTTGACGGGTCACGCTGGTTCCTATCCCCAGCCTCTTCATGGATGTAATTTGGCGACAATAGGTCCAACCGGGTTCCCTTGCCGCACCCAGTGGTGGGGCAAGAAATTATATTCAGTGTCACCTGCACTGGAGGACATTCTAACATTGCCTTCAGTGGACGCTCCAATAGCAGCCCTCACCTCTAATTCTGTTCTCCCGGCAGACCTAATGGAAGGTCTTAAGGCGGAGGACAAGAAGGCGGAGAAGGCCTGCCACAAGACTCACCAAGTGGCAGCATGGGCCATTAAGGCGTCTTCCTCCGTTTTGTTCTTTAACAGGGCTTCCATTATTTGGCTACGTGAGCCTAGGCTAAGCTCCAGCGGGAGACACTCACCTCTGCCAGGATGTTACAAAGATCATCGCAGCAGCCCAATACTCTGCCGATGCCTCTCTTAATGTGGAGAAATTTGCCTCAAGGGCGTTGGCCTTTAATGTCACTTCTAGGCGCCTAGTGTGGTTTTGCCACTGGCAGGCTGACCAAAAGGCCAAGTGGAAGCTCGTCTCTGCCCCCTTTAAGGGCGCCAAGCTTTTTGGGGAGGTCTTAGACCCCTTCCTGATCGAATCTAAAGACAAACGGAAGGTTCTTCCCACCCTGACCAAGAAGCAGGATCGTAAGCCCACTCCCTATTTCAGGAGTCAGTCCTTTCGTTCCAATGATTCCTCCCTCTTCTCCGCTGCCCCCAGATCATACAATCAATCCTCTGATCACTCCCAGGACAGACAGTCCTTTCGGGACAGAGGTAGGCAGCACTTCAACTTCCACAAATCCAACTGGGAGGGGGGGGGGTCACTGCCTTGTGGACGTTGACGTTTACGAAGATTAAGTCCAAGTAAGTCCAACTGGGGGGGGGGCTTCTCACAGACCCTTCCGCAAATCCAAGTGACCACCAACAGTCACCTCCCACCGGGGGACAGCTTCAACTGTTCGTCTCCCAATGGGAGCAGACCACAGAGGACAGCTGGGTCCTACAGTCAGGGAGGGACTGTCACTGGAGTTCCTTTCACCCACCCCCCCAAGGAACTTCATATGATGCCCCACCCTCTCTTGCCCTTTCAAGAGAGCTCATGACCCAGGAGATCCATCGCCTCCTGGAGATAAAGGCCATAGAGCAGGTACCATCCAACCAGGAGGGGAAGGGATTTTACTCCATTCTCTTCCTGGTCCCCAAGAGCTCAGGGGTGTGGAGGGCAATCTTGGACCTCAAGAGCCTCAACCGGCACATCACATACAGGAGGTTCAAGATACAATCCCTGCACACCATCCTCGCAGGGATTTGCTAACATCCATCGACTTAAAGGAGGAATATTTAGATATCCTAATTTGGCCACAACACTGAAGGTTCCTGCGCTTCTTTTACAACGGCCGACACTATCAATACAGGGCCCTGCCACTCAGCCTGTCGTTGCACCCAGGATCTTCACAAAAATTCTGTCAATAGTCGCAGTGCACCTCAGGCACAGACCCATAAGGCTCCAATGTTACCTGGACGACATCCTCATCCAGGAAACAGGCCTTATAGGACCTCCATATCACCAGGAGGTCCCTCCAGAACCACGGGTTCTCCTTGAAACTGGACAAAAGCCATCTTTCTCCGACTACCAAGCTTCTCCACCTGGGGGCAGTGATAGACACTTCCAACTGCAGGGTATCTCTCTCCCAGGACAGGATAGACAGCTTAGTCTATATTTAAAATAGTAGCAAAAAGCAAAACAACATATCCTCAATGGCAATACTATTGTAGGTATAACATCTAAAACTTCCAAGTGAGACTCCAGATATCTTCATGGACATATTCATGTAATTTTCTTGGCAATAATGCATAAGTAGGTTTTCTCCTTGCTGACTTCCAGGGTTTTTTTTTTAATTGCCAAATTAGCATCAGAAAACTGTTACCATAACTACTGACACTTTGTCATGCAAAGCTGGCAGATACCACAATTTGTCTAAGT